GGGTCCCGCCGGGAGGAGGGGAGGGACGGCACCTCCAGCAGCGCCACTGCCACTGACGAGGAGGCCCACGGCGTCCCTCCCGAGCTGCGGGCGGCCCGGGTGTCTCGAGCGGGGCGCCCGAGGACAGCGCCGCGGGGCGACCACGAGGGCCTCGTCCTCGGGCCCTCGAGCATGGTGGTGGTGGTGGCGTCTTTCCTTGCCCCAGCCGCGGCGCCTGCAGCGCGCAGCGCCCCGGTGGGGGGCGGCCTGCCAGGGGGCCCCCTGCAGGTGGGGGCGGAAGACCACGCCAGCTGTGACCACGCGGGCCCTCCGGCCGATCGTGCCGCACCGCTCGTGCCTCGGCGGTGCGGCTCACGTCACCCGGCGCGTTCCACGACTCGCAGAGTGCCTACCCGCAAACGCTCGAGCAGAAACGCATGCTTGCCTCGGTTCTACGGTTCTATGGATCGCAGGTCCCCCGCGGCGGACCCGCGGCGTTGGCGAGTAGTTTTCGTTGCGAGTCGTGGAACGCGCTCGTCTCTCAGTGTGACTGTAGCGCCCGACGGCCTCCGAGCCAACGTCGCCGACGCCTCGGCGCCTTTGCCCGACCCCGTCGACCCCGTCGGCCCCTCGGACCCCGCCTGGGCGGCCTCCCTCGGGGCCGCCCGCTGAGGCGCAACCGCGCCCCGCACGCCGCGGCCCTGACCAGAGAGAGAAAGAGAGAGAGAGAGAGAGAGAGACAGTCGGAGGACGCGTAACGGGGGTGATACATGTCGGCGGCGAGCGAGGGGGGAAGTGAGAAGGAGAAGGCCTTCTCAGAAGGCGTTGGAACTTCTCAGAAGCCCTCGCGCATTCTGAGAAGTTTTCTGCGTCTTCTTGGGGAAGGCTAAGACAACTTCTCAGAAGGCCCGGGGACTGGCGAGGGAGGGGGGAGGATGAGGAGGGAGGGACGAGGAGGCTGGACGGAGTGAGGAGGAGTGGAGGAGTAGGAGGAGTAGGAGGAGGAGGAGGAGGAGGAGGAGGAGGAGGAGGGGGATGAGGAGGAGGTGGAGGCGGAGGAGGAGGAGGAGGAGGACCAGGGGGAGGAGGCCACGGCCTCCTGGCCAAGGGCCACGACGGGCCGCGGCCCGAGGGTTGCGGGGCGCTCTCTCTCGCGGGAGCCCCCCAAGGGGAGTGGCCTGTCCGTGCGGTCGCGCACCCGCACGGGATTGTCGTGCGCCGGAGTCCAGGCCGCGGGGGCGTGGATGCGGTTGTGTTCCCGCAGATCCCGGCGTCGCAGTTGTTTCCCGAGCCGGGAGCGTTCGAGCCGTTTGGGGCCCCGGGGCCCTCACGGATCCATCCGGCTGGAGACATGACGCCGAGAGATGGGCTCCGAGGCTCCGGTCGTGATGTGTTCGCGATGCTGCAATTTTTTCGAGACGTCGGATCTCAGGGTTTGCTGGTGGAGGGTGCTTTTGTTCACCCTTTGGGCCATAACGCGCGTAATGACCCTTGCCTTCCGCCCCCCCTCCCCCCCATAACGTAACGCCCCCCCCTCAGTGCGTCCCTGGCACTTCAGCAGTGCGTCCGGCACCACAGGCTGAGAGTCTGGGGGGGGGGCTGTACGTTCGGCACGAACGAAATGGGTACGGAAAGAATGGGTACAATGCCCAACAGTAGTTCTTGTTCATTCTGAACAGCTCTCGCTGTTGGTGTCGCCGCGGCCTGTGTTCATTTGAGACAGAAGGCCGCCTGCCCAACAGCGGCCGCTGTTGGTTTGGGACAACATTTGTTGCTGGGCACTGTGCCCATTCTTTCCGTGCCCATTTCGGGCGTCCAGATACGTTATGCCCCCCCCCATAGCGCTCGTCGTGGCCGCGAAGCCAAAGAGGCGCTCCTCCTCGCGAGCCTGGCCAGGAGCGCGGCCGCGGCTCCCGGACGGGCCGGGGGGGCCCTTCGAGCCCGGGCCCCCCGCCTCCCGCGGGGCGGGGCGGGCGCCCGCGCGCGGGCGCGCGCGCGCGCCGGGGGCGCCGTGCCGGGCCTTGCCGCAGCGGGTCGGCACCGCGAGGCCGCCCCGCCCCGCGCTGTTTTTCGCCGCTTCCTCCCTCCTCGCCGCTCCTCCTCCTCCCTCCCCCTCCTCCCTCCTCCCTCCTCCCTCCTCCTCCTCCTCCTCCCTCCCTCCCTCCCTCCCTCATCTCTCCTCCCTCCTCCCTCCTCCCTCCTGGCTCGGGTGCGCCAGAGCTCGGGTTTGCAGGCGCTTTTTGAGGAGCGCGTCCCGGGTTCTGGCGGTCCAGTTTTCGTGGGGTGCCTGCAGCGGGAGCCCACGTCACACTTCAGGCCGGGTCTCGTCATTTCATGGTGGCCCCGTCATGTCAGCCCGAGTCGCCAGAACCAGAGTCTCATGTCTCCCCAACGGAGCACGCGGGTCCTGAGGACAAAGCGGGCCCAGATCTTGTCCGCCGCGTTTTCCCTCCGCGGGCCCCATATTGTTTTTTGCCACAAGCGCCGCGGGACCGAGAGCTGTGCCTCTTACTGCGGGGAGCTTCCTGGAGGACATGCGCGGCGCGCGGTAGTGGTACCATCTACAGCCCCTGCTCCGTAAGATGTGGGTCGACGTTCGCGCGGCGGTGCTCCGATGTAAACCCGACGTGAACCCGACGTGGATCCAACGTGAAACCGACGTGAATCCGACGTGAGCCCGACGTAAAGCCGACGTGGACCCGACGCGCATACGTTGGATCTCAAGCTGCCGCGCGAGGCCTCCAGGTTCTCCTCCTGCGGCCCTGCAGGGGAGGCCCCGGGAGCCAGGGCCCGCCTTCCTCTCTCTCTCTCGCGGGACCCCCGTGTGCTGCATGCGCACTGCCGCGCCGCGCCCCCCGCGGCCTCCTCGTCGGGTCCCTGCGCCTCGAGCGCGTGGCGGCCGCCGCCTCGCGCCTGGGCCTGGGCCCTCGGGAGGTGCACGCTCGCTCGGGCCCCGGGCGCAGCCAGAGGAGCGGGCCCTTTCTGCGAGGAGCCGTGCGGCGGGGGCGGGAGGTGCAGGAGGCCAGGGCTCCGGGCAGGGCTCCGGGCACAGGCCGGGGCCACGGCGCTGCTCTGGGCGACTCCTTCGTCGTGCAGTTGGGGGCAGGGGGCAGGAGCTTCTGCTCCGCGTGCGGCCCCGCCGGTCCTGGACCCACACACTCGGCGGCGCGACATGCAGACCACGTCCCCGCTCCCAAGCGTCCACGAGCCCAGCACGTCCCCGCCTCCCGCCCCGTGGAGCGGCGCGACACAGCATCCGCTGGCAGGGCATGGAATGTCGCAGGGGCCACCGCCGCGTCACGCCGATCAGAGGCTCCCGACCGTGATTCGCATCTTGGGGCCCTGTTTGCACCTCCTGCTTCTTTCTCTTGAGGGGGAGGGCGTGGGGGGGCCTGTGGGGACCAAGTTGCCGCTGCGAGCTCCGGGGGGTGTAAGGCTGTGTGGTACAGCAGGTTCGTGTCTGCAACCTTGAACGATCGGTGGTGTTCCGATCGTTTCGTATCGGTCGATTCTGAGCCATTAGCGGCATTCAGCCTCGGATGTCCGCGGCGGGACCGCCGCCGCGTCGACACGACGCGAACCTGTCGTACGCGGGGCTCGCGGCGATTAGGATATTCGGGCGGGGGCGGGGGCGGGGGCGGGGGCGCAAGGTAAGGGCAATAGCAGGCATGGCTTGGGGAAACAGCACCTGAATGCATGCGCTGTTTGAGGGCTGTTCTGCTACGCGCGACTCGTGTGCGGGTTCTGGCGACAAGATGGGCGGTATGGACATTCCTAGTAAGCATGGTTTCACTCGTTCGGTACTGGTGCATGGTAAGCGCTGCACTTTGGATCACAAGTCGCACAATCCGTCTGCCACGGGCGCATGAATCCAGCTGGGGCCTTGGACTTTGGCTTGTTGCGACCAGCAGATATGACGTGACCAGACATTGGTTGATGACGGTGGTGATGATGATGCAGATGCTGACGGTTACAAATGATGATCACGGCCATGGTGGTGATGGTGGTGGTGACGGTATCGATTCTGGCGTTTCCGCAGACACAGTAACGCGCCTGAGGACGATCATGAGCCCGTCTGATAGCGAACAGCTGCAATAGCAATGCGTAGAAGTGCAAGCAACGAATCTGATTTGTCATTGCATGGGCATCAGAGGAGCGGTGAGGACAATGGTTCTCAGACAGGGCGGACCGAATTGCCCTGGCCGCCAGAGAAGGCAGCAAGCTTCCTATCTGGCCTGGCGAAACTCCAGGGGAGTCCACGGGTTCCCGGGACAGTGTCATGTCCATTCCCTGGGAAGAACGGTCACAGAAATTTGCCATCGCTAGTTGCGAAGGCCTTACGGCCAGTGCCGCCGACCCTGTTCGCTATGACGAGGAGGAGGAGCAAGAGGAGGAGGAGGAAGTGGAGGAGGAGGAGGAGAAGAAGGAGGGGGAGGAGGAGGCATCGCTAAATTTTCACATGGCGCGAGAGGGTTTGGGCCCTGGCCTTGCCCCCGGGCGCCGCCCACGAGCTTTGAGCTCGCCATGGTCGAGCGTACCGCGACCACCATGCTTGCTGCCTCGACGCCGCCGACAGCGGCGAGGCTGCCTGCCCATGCAGCGCGGCCGCAGCCCCTGCGAACTCTCTGAGCGGCTGGAGACGCCCCACTCCCACAGGAGACCTTTTTCATCCACCAGCGATCAAGGGCGTAACCCAATGGAGGGGGAGGAGGGTGGGAGGGGGTCGGTCACGTCACGATGCGCGCCGGCGCCGTCTGGGAATGCCTAGCAATGGCACTCCCGCACGACGCCAGCGCGAATCCTGACGTGACCAGTGGGGGGGGGGACGGGGCCAGTCCGCGAATGACCAAAAACGGGCTCCAGGCATCCCAGCCCCCCATTGTCGTGGAGCAACTACAAGAAGTACAGGCGGAAGGTTGTTCTGCCTTTTTCGGCCTCCATGGGCCTTTACTGTGTCTCAAGGGCCGTCCAAAAGCGAGTCTAGGTGAAAAGTCAGTCCCTGGGAAGGGGTCGATAGTTCTGGGGGTCGACGCTGTGAAGACATCACGAGTTAGTGGGTCTGGGAACGGCGAGCACTGTTTCAGAAACGACGATCGTTAAGAGGGAAGCAGACTGGTTCGTGATTTCTCTGGGGGGCAAGCTCATGTGAAGGGTTGGTGTGTGTGTGTGTGTCTTGAGCTACTCATCCTCCTCGGGAACGCCGCGACAATCGAGGGCCTCGCGCTGGCACACGTGCTCGGACATCTCGGACCACGCGCAGGGCCAGGGGCTGCATCTGGACGTCGTCGCTGCCACCGTGGCGATCAAGAGATGCGGAGACAGCAGCGAATGGGCGAACGCGCTCGCGCTGCTGCGAGATGTTTGCCGTTTGGGCTTGCAGGCCGACGTATTTACATTCAGTGCTGCAATTGGCGCATGCAGAAACGTAGGGCAATGGCAGCAGGCAGTCTCTCTACTTCAAGAGATACGGCACGTTCAATTAGAGCCCGACATCAGGACCTTCAGCATTTTGATCAGCGCGTGTGAGAGAGGCGGACAGTGGCAGCGGGCGCTTTCACTTCTGGGCGATATAGAAGATGCGCAGCTTGAGGCAGACGTTGTTTGCTTCAGTGCTGCACTGAGCGCATGCGAAAAATGTAGGCAGTGGCAGCAATCGCTGCTATGGCTCAGCGAGATGCGCACGAGGCAGCTAGAGCCTAGCGCGATCACCTACAATGCTGTCATCAGCGCGTGTGGGGCATCTGGGCAGTGGCGAGATGCAGTGCTGATATTGAGCGATCTGCAACAGCTCGAGGTGGAGGCAAGCGTCATCACTTACAGCTCTGCAATAAGCGCATGCGAGAAAGGTGGTCAGTTGACGCTTGCATTGTCTTTGCTTGGCGAGCTGCAGCATGTGCGGTTGGAGCCAAACGTTATCAGTTACAGTGCTGCCATCAGCGCGTGTGAAAAATGTGGAGAGTGGAAGCCGGCTATGTTCTTGCTAGGCGAAATACGGCAGAGGAGGTTGACACCGAATATCTTCACTTATGGCGCGTCGATAAGCGCTTGTGTGAACGGCGGGCGTTGGCAGCTGGCTCTTTCATTATTCGATGGACTGCGCGAATCAGATTTGGAGTCTACCGTAATCAGCCATAGCGCTGCCATCAGTGCCTGCGAGAAAGGTGGACAGTGGAAGCGGGCTGTGTATCTTTTAGGTGTGATGCGCCGAACGCAGATGCGACCAAATGTGGTCAGCTACAGCGCTGCCATCAGCGCGTGCGAAAAGGGTGGGCAGTGGCAGGGGGCCTTGTCACTGCTAAGTCAGCTGCGGCAGACAAAGATGGAGCAGAACATTGTTGGCTTCAGTGCTGCAATCAGTGCGTGCGAGAAGCTCAGGCGGTGGAAGGAGGCATTGTGGGTGCTGCGCGAGGCGCGATTCGCCCTACTCGAGTGTGACCTCATCAGCTACAGCGCCGTTATCAGCGCATGCGATAAGGGCCAGGAGTGGACTTGCGGGTGATGGTGTCAGTGCGAAGATCGGGGGCGCACGAATGGGGCTTAACGGTGTGACCTTATCGGTCCACTGGCTTGCTGGAATCTGTTTGTTCGCGACAGGTCCTTGTTGGGGCCACCCCTCTCAGCCTCAGCTTCGACCGTGCATTGCGACGCAAAACGATGTAGTTGAATAACACGTGTGTTTCTTCTCCGTGACAACGTGGAACCCAGCGGCCATCAGCCATTGGCGTTGCGCAGCATCGGCGTGGAGTGATTCTGTGAGGTGGCGAAGTGGAGCGTCGTTTGCTTATTGTCGATTCATCTCGTTCTTTTGCATGATTGGCCTCTCTGTGTCGCGTTCAACGCGTCGGCCTGACGTCATACTCGATAGAGGCCGCGACGAAGGCATACGGGGTGACAACTTTAACTGGTGTGGGCTTTCAAGCCGAGACTCCGATTGAAGATGTTTGGTGTGAACCTCGACATCGGAACTGCTACATTGGGGCGAAGACTAGGATCTCGCGCGAACTCTTGAGGGACCGATATCAGCCATGTACACGGCAAGGGGGCGGGTCTGGTCGCCATTCTTGCGAAGCGCGCATGTTCCCACATGCCCGGGCCCTGGAGGTTTCGACAACTTTCCGGGACCGCTTCTTCATCCCGAGTCGTCGTTTGACGGTCTGGCGCCTGGCAGTGGCAATGGCTCGTTGCGGCCGAAGGCAATGAAGTCATTCCCGCCGTCCTTCTCTCACTACGCGAGGGAACCCCCCCTGGGGATCCGGACCCCTTTTCCGGGGCCAAGCCGTTTGTCCTGGGGGTCTTTCTGCTGACGGCCCCTAGGGCTGGGAAGCGGCCTCCAGAGGCCTAGGAAAATGTAATACATTGGCCGTGCATCCGAGGGAGGATTTTATCCTTAACAACTGTCCAGGTTGAAGCACATCCCTACGGTCGGACCGAGGTATGTGACCGAGGTCGGTTTGGGGAGGGTACTCCAGATTTCGTAAGAAGAGGGAGGAGACCCCCCCGTGGGAGAACCCTCCAAAACATCGTCCCCAGACCCCCCCAGGCCCTCCAAGATAGCCTGGAAGAGACCCCCCCCGAAATGAGACCCCTCTCCCTTTATTACGAAATCTGGAGTACGTGATCGAGGTCGGTTTGGGGAGGGTACCCCGCTGTTCTTCGTTTCTGTTGGATGTTCTTGTGCATCCTGGGTGCGGGCACCCTCGAAGATTCTTTTCGGTCCGGGCCCGCGGAGGGTCGCGCCTTCTTGAAGGCTGTTCCTCCGTCCTGGGTCTAACTGTACCCCTATGTTTGGCATCACCCTACTTCGGTTCCGATCTGAAGGACTTCCTCCTTGG